TGTTTATCGAATCAACTGCAAATACATGTAATAGGAATGATTCAACACCTGTCCCAGATATCTGGAAAATTCTACTACCCCTACGACGACAAATAGGAGAGGATAAAAAAACTATAAAACTCAAGTTTCAAAGTCGTGTGATTACAATTGATATGATTATGAACAATAAATTTTGTTCGAAACGTCATCCAGTAAATAATACTGTTTCACTGTGTGATGCATCTAATGAACAAACTAATATGGAATCCGTTTCAAATAGTTTTAATCTTCTCATTACCTCAGTGAGTCGCAATCTATACTCGCGTACAATTCGGAATAAGTTTCTACCTTACACTGTGAGATTTTTGAGGGAAGTGTTGGAAGAACATTGTAAAGTAGCAGCATTTGAGCACAGTTTGGATGGAAGAATATTTCTTCAGATGATAAATTTTCGATTATCATATTGTTTGATGACTCTGTGCAGCGGGTATAATCCTTGCAATGAAGCTCGCTGGAAATTTAGTATTGTTTATGAAAGCACATTTTGGTTTAGTGCTATTATTATTTTTACGAGTTGATCACGGATTGATATCAGTTAGAGAACCACTAAAAACCAGGGAGTACTGGATATCTGTTTCACCCCAGTTTGGGAACCATCGGCAGTACGCAGCCACCACCAGAGTTCGAACCCAGGACCTTCCGGTTACAGAGCAAGCTCGTATACCATTCAGCCACTGGGACCCAATTCAATGGCTCATGAAGTCTAACTTCTACCAATTTGTGATTTAGCGCGGCCTCAACCAATGCCGTCGGTGGGAATGATATCAATCTGTGATCAACTCGTAAAAACAAAACCTAATCCTTACAAACCAATAATAGAAAAGCCATTATAATTATTAATATGTCGATGTTTTTATGAAGTGTAAAACTCATCGAATTAGCAGTTTTTCCCTCTTTTGTGCTATATTCCGCTTTTGGGGGGTAACACATAGTACACTAAGAAAGTGACTATAAAGTTATTTGCTTAAACAAAACGTCTATACAATTCTTGCTACTTATTTCTTATTCTTGATAAATATTGCAAATTTGGTATCTGAATGCCTTCTGTCTTAAATGAAAGTATAAGACTTGTTCCCTCGGGTTTCGAGTGGAACATAGGGCTTCAATAACACATCTTCACTTTCTTCTATTTCTGCCGTCCTCTTCAGCTGGGTCCACGATTGACCAAACTCTCTCATCTCTTCCTCAAACGATCTCCTCCATGTCACCCTCGAAGCGACGACCCACTCGTCGACGGTCTCCTCATTGTGTACCCGATCTATCTCCATTTTCTTCTGCATATTTGTCCAGCCATTGGCTCTTGGATGGTTCGTTCACAGATAGAGTTTCTTGTTGCTGATTCTTTCTGTCCAGCCGGCCGGTCATTTAAATCTTCAGTGTGGAGCCAGTTAAGTCAGCTGTTGATAAAAGTCCGCAGTAGCCTTTTTGAAAATCCTTTTAGTAATATGTTTCTGACCTGTTTAGAAGAAATAATTGACTGACCTAACATTGGTATTGAAAATCCGAATCTTGTTCTTTATACTGAGTGAGAGCAGAAGATTTCCAAGCTGATTTCAGGTTGATGAGGGCTTATCTTGCCTTTCTGATTCTGGCCTGCTTTCACATTTTCATCCGTTCCGCTAGCTTGTAGTTAAAGAGATGCTTCTTAGATAAGTGTAGGAAGTAATCTCTGTTAAATCTCTACTGTTGATGGTGATTGGTGCTGGTTGTTGTTGTTGATAGCTTTGTCTATATTTGACACAATACGTGTAATATGGAATCTCAGTAGTAGTCATCTTCACATATTCACTGTACTCCATGAGTTACGACTTCGTAGGATCTTTGTAAATGCACTCATTGAACTGTTTTCTTTTCATTTGTATTTAAGAATGAAACGATTATCATCTTTATCGTTTTCATCGTAGACTGATAGCGAAAAATAATAACCGTAATATTATTAGTATCACTTAGTGTATGAGTCACCATATGGTTATCTCTGTAAATAAATTTCGTAATTTCTATACTTTGTGAAGTCGACACTACTTATTGCTATGGGATTTGAAACAACAGAAAATGACCTCTTTTTCTCTTTTTCGTTTAATGTGATTCAATCACCGGAACTATTGATTAAATACCCTTTCAACCTCTAAATGAAATCATCTATGATATTTGCCCCTAACAGTTAATCTACTATGTAATATTTCACTGTCATAATTTTCCGTACTGATGTTTTGATATTCTCTGAGCTAATGGTTGGAAAGTTTTTTCAGACTTTATTTAACTATCTCTTTCCGGAAAGTACACTTTTGCCATTCCAAAATATTAACTGTTCCTTTCTAATCGTTTCTTTATACAGAAAATTTTTATGCGATTCTATGATTGGTTGTTATCAAGCCTATATATATATATATATATATTGGTTGGAGGATTTCATCCTGAGCTGATATCATTTAGAGGAACATTGGAAAACCTACGTGGAGTACTGGACAGCCGTTTCGTCAGCCTAGTTTGGGACTACTTAGCAATACGCATCCACCTGAGCTCGAACCCAGGGCCTTCTGCTTACAAGACGATGTCACTTGTCCAGTACTCCCCGTAGGTTTCCCAATGTTCCTCTAAATGATATCAGCTCATGATGAAATCCCCCAACCAATGAAACAAAATCCCTACAAACCAATACGTGCATATATATATATGTATATATATATATATTATATTGCATATTACGATTGTATGTAAGAGGAAAGAAAACAAATTATCTAATTACTTTGAAAATTTCTTCCCTTCTTAAACTGTTTAGTAAAATTGCTTTCACAATGAAGATAATCCCAATTAAACTAATCAATTCGTTTATTTACGGTTTGTCAGCTAGCAGTTAACATAAAACATTTCTTATTCAGTTTAAAAGCGGTAAAAGTTATTGATCGTTTACAGCATACTTTATCGGTCAATGTTTACCTCACATAACAATGTTTCAAATAGTCTTTCAAATTGAAGATATGTATATATATATATGACTTTGTTAATGGGTATACAAATCCTGTTTGTTGGGTGCTTTTAGTGTGAAATTAATGAGCAGTTGAAACTTTTGAAATTTTGTTGGGATTCCACACTAGTTTATCCCTCTGGTATCAATTTAGAATAATTATTTATAGCTTCGATTCATTCATTAGTTAGATTAAACATTTTCTATGACTTTCAACAGCACCAGTGGAACACCTGCTTATGTGGAAGAGCTCTTTATTAATCATTTATGTAAGCGTAGAACTTGGACACTGTGGTAGAATGTGATTTCATGTTAGCTAGACCTAGAGTAATTGATCCTGCTAAGTTAAATCACCTGGAAAAAAGCTCAGCCATTGCACTGCATTCATTTGCATGTAATCACAAAATAGACAGGGTGACAGTTTTCGAGTACTGGTTTTGTAGGGATTTGTTAGATTGGTTGGATGATTTCATCATAAGCTGACATCGGTTAGGAAACTATTGGAAAACCTAAAGGGAGTACTGGACAGCTGTTTCGTGAGTCTAGTTCGGGACTCTTCAACAGTACGCACCAACTGACATCCGAACCCAGGAATTTCTGGTTACAAGGCGAGCTCGTATACCATTAAGCCACTGGGACCCGATCCAATGGCCAGCCCATAAATTCTAACTTCTGCCAATTCACGATATTTTGGTGTGGTTGTGTTTTCTGAGCTGGATGGTTTGGTTGCGAAGCTTTCATTGCTCTACTGAGCAACATCTTCAGCGCATACTTCGATGTGAAGTGAGCTTTTAGAATTCTCTATGAGTTTATTAGTCATCTCTTCTAGTAACCCTGAACGTGATTGGTTGTTTTCGTGTGACATTTCACCCCCTAGTTTGCTTGTCTCGGTGCTGGCTGCTTCTTTGGTCTGAATGTCGTTAGTCATTCCTTCTGCTAACCTTGAACGTGATTGGTTGTTTTTGTGTGACTTCTCACTTTCTAGTTCACTTGTTTTGGTGTTGACTGTTTCCTTGACCTGAAGTTTGACTTTGTTTTTGTGTGAATTTCTTCGTATGGATTGGTATATTTTGTCAATCTCTATGTGTCTATTGATTGCTGATTCATTTGAATACCAGGCCTCTAGGAATTCTCTGGCATTTTTGCAGTTCCCTTTGTCTAAGATTTGAACATTGTCCCAGTCGAATTGGTGCCCGTGGTTGTCTGCATGTAGTGATATGAGGGAGTGTATGTCGTGTCTTTTGACAGCTAGTTTGTGTTCGTGAATGCGAAGACGAAGAGGGCGTCCACTTTGACCAATGTAATGTTTGTCGCAGTCGTTGCAACTTATCTTGTAGATGACGTTAGTTTTGTCTTCTTTTGCCGTTGAGTCCTTTGGTTTACATAGAACTAAGTGTAGTCACTACACACTATACGAGCTCGCCTTGTAACCAAAAGGTCCTGGGTTCGAACCCCGGTGGGTGCGTACTGTTGAAGAGTCCCAAACTAGACTCACGAAACAGCTGTCCAGTACTCTCAGGTTTTCCAATGGTTCTCTAACTAATGTCAGCTCATGGTGAAATCCTGTAAGCAATCAACCAAATCACTACAAACCAATACTTTAATGTTGTTTCAGCTCGGTAACACCAACAGTCTCCACATGAATGTTGTAGTTTGCCGCGTTTTCTAAATCCGCAATAATGTTGCCTTAGCAGTATGTGTATAAAACTACAGACTTGAAATTAAAATGAAGTTGCAATTAGGGGAAATAAGAAATGATTACAAGAAAATAGTTATATGTAGCTGTTGTGAATATATATATATATATGATAGGAATTCACACTAAAATGTACCACAGTTATACTTTTCAGTATTTCTGAATAATTCAATAAATTCCATGATACTGACAATATTTCTGAATATTATTTATTCACAAGTCATTGCATCTTTCTCATTTAATGAAAATTTCAATTACTAGGATAACAGTTACATTTTTTCTCTTCTTCCTCTTTTACAGATTTCATTTTTCCTGGCTGTGATATGGGGATGTGCATTGATTTATTTTTTATTTAGTGAAGTTATGCATTCACCTGCGTATGCCTCACCCTTTGTACTTGTTTCATTCATGACACTTTATCTTTTCAATCCATTCAATTTTGGTCATGCAAGAGCACGTCGTTGGCTATTACGCATATTGGTGAGTTTCAGTTAATCAGTGTTATCAACATATATTCACTCATTAAGGAAAACATTAGCTGTATTTCGAAGAAGTATCCTTTGAAGGATACTAAAGTAAATATTATTAACTGCGTCTGTGGCACAGTGGTTAGGACTCTCGCCGACCACGCACATGGTCCGGGGTTCGATCCTCTGCCGACGCACATCTGATATCTATGGTCGGCCTGCGAAATTTGGGCTACCGATATCACATGCTGAAAATTCCATACTTCTACCAAAAAGTACTGTGTGGCATCAAGCTGTAATAAAAAAAACTAAAAAATATCAAGACTTAATATCTCGTTTACCTATTAAGTGACTAGATATCTTTGGGTTCGAACCGTTGCGTTGTTTTGTTTTGTTTTCCAACCTTCTGTTGTACGCGTTCACATTTATACTGACGAAAGGATATCGTTACATCGATTCGGATAAATACTGACACATGATCGATTTATTTGCGTCACATACATCAGTCGACAAGATAGAGAATAGAACAGAACAAATCCTCAACTACATTACTTACCACCGTAGACTTACGCTCTATGAAGAAGTAGAATTAAAAAAAGGTATACGTGTCTAGTGGAGAAATAAACTAAGCTATAAAGAGCTATTATTAGTCATCTACTAATATGCATTGTTAACCATAAGAAGCTTCTTTTTATAAATTCAGAGAAAATTTCTACAAATGTTACTAAAATCCTCATGTTTTCTGAAATCTCTATAGCTAGACAACACTTTACAAAGATACATTAATCCTTCACATTATCACAATGATTTTTTGTTTATTATGTGTAATTTTGTTTTTGACCTTAGTGTTATACACGTCGTACACCGATGACTACATTCATGATATTTCATAGTGTGGGGCTGCGGTCACTTGCGTTTGTTTGTTTGTCTGTTATTTTCCCAAAGTAATACTTCTGAAGATTATTACAGTTCACAGATTTTAGGCATAACAATAAAAAGTACACTGGAATTTCAAGTGGGTGGGAAGATGGGTGTAATAACTTTGTAGGGTTATAGATAGTAAATGGAAAACTAATGTGTACAGAGTAGACTATTCTGTTGATTTCAGTGAATATATATAACATCAGTATGTCTAGTGTGATACTTTATTATAAAGGCATATGATTATTGTTTTTAGGGAGGATTTCATTTACCTTATGTTTAGTAGATATTAGCAACTGAAGATATATATATATATATATATATACATCTATTTTCAGCATCGGCTAATTGATACTTACGAGTAGCATTTTTATGATTGAATTCAATAAATCAATGCCAAATTCCAGTGTTTTACTTTATTGCTTTAAAAAGGTAGCTTATTACTTTTGGATAAGTTTGAATAAAGCAAAAACAACAGTGCTTTCTGCGGAATCATATGGCACCAGCATTTATTTCGTTGGCTTCTTATCTGTTGCTTATAGCCTAAATAAATTATTAAGTTTATGTACAGAAAAGTCTTAACATACTTGCAGATTTTACATAATGTCAGTTGACAAGAGGTTCCAAACTTAGTGAACAGTGCTCAGAAAACTACACTTATATAGTTTTTACACAAGGAGTCTAGGTTTAAACAAAGTAAATGTATGCATACAATGGTAAAGGAGTTACGTAATAAAGACGAGAGGTGCGTAAGATGATGAGTAACTGAAAAATTGGGTAATTATGTACTGAGTTCAACTCAAATCATAGAAACGAGAGACAAACAAAATCACACTATATCAAAGGGGGGGGGTTGAGGTTAAAGCCAAAGACCACGTAATCGAATGGAAGTGAGAGTAAAGACATCCAGTTACCAGACAGGACGAGGAAAGACTGATAACTATGTCCTTATGAACACAAATATCGGGTTTCGGGCATTTGATAGAGATTTCTTCTGCATACTCGAGGAGAATTGAGCTTTTTTATCTTAAAAGATTTCGTGATTCCCACCTCATAACCCGTATCAATAAGATCACTGGTAATAGCACTATTGTAAGCGTTTGTTCCCTTGAGACGTAGGCTTTTCGGTACATGCTCAGGAAATCGAAGATGTGCCTTTCTTTCTGTTCTCTCAATGTAAATGCTCCCGCAGATACATGTAAATTTGCATACACGGTTGAAGTTAACATGAGAAGGGTATTTGTCAACTTTTGATTGCACCAAACAGCATGTTTTCGGATAGTTGGGAACTGACTTAGCTGCAGGATAGACTTTGGCTAGTGAGTACTCAATTTTTTGTTGAATATTGCTGCAATATTTTCACTTTTAAAATTGAGCTGAATGAAGACAGGCTTTTTCCTTCTGTGATTTGTTTGATGTTTGACGCTTGACATCTTCCATATTTTTACTAATGAATCTCCGAGAGTAACCTTTGTTTTTCAACATCTTTTCAAGAATCGTATATATATGTATATATATTTCTTGTATGCTAGAAAATTTGTGGAACCTTCATTGGTTATCAGCCATATCTCCTTTAACTTTTGACTTCAGTGTATGCCACTGAAATGTGGAATAATATTTTTCTTCATTTTGAAATGCGTTAGCATAGATACATAGTTCTCTGAATATAATTTAAATACTTAGTAGATTCAATAAATCTCATTTCTCTATGGATTTTATTCACCCTGAACTATTCTACGGTACAGAATAAACTGTCTTTTTGATGAAATCGGATAATTTCCATCATAAAGTAGTTACGAAAAAAGAAAAACTTAGCAAAGGAATACATATATAACAACAAAACTACACAGAACCGTTCATTCTTTGTTTAGTTTAAGTTAGTTCATATTTTTGAGACTTACCTGTTTTGTTATAAGTTAAAATTCATGTATTCCTCAACTTAAAAGCTTAACCTAGTATTAATGTCAGTAAAAAGTTAAAGCATTGTTGAATAGATCAAATAAAGTATAATTATATTTCAATGGTTTACACACAATGATAAGTTTTGTTATTGGTAATATTTAAAATATTTAATAATACAAAAAACAAAACAATTCCTACAGTGATGTGAACACTGGCAGTAATTTTACTCGAACTATTACCAATAACAAAACTAATCATTGTGTGTAAACTATTGAAATATAATTATACTTTACTTAACCGAGTACTCCACTATTTGACTTGTTTAGATATTTCTGTGAGATTCTTATTAACTGCCTTAAGTCAAGTTATAGTTAACATGTTTTAAAGTTATGCATAGTTCTATAGCTACGCATTTACTAGAAATTTATACTACATGAATACATTATCCCTAGTAGATACTGAACTATAGTAGTAATAACCCAATTACCCACAAAAGAAACTGTGTGCAGACATTGTTTAATAAGAGAGTTCAAACACACCGTAGTACTCCAGAGTTGAAAAGAATGGAAGAAAAATACCTACTAATCATCTTCAAAAAGGAATGCATATCCTCACAATTTCATCAAAAAGTGTTTAAAATAGAGTCATAACACCAAGAAACCATCATCAAACACTGCAAGAAAATTCATTCTACCATGCATGAGAAATATCTCTGAAATAACAGCTAGAATACTGAAACTGTTAGATATAGATATAGCACACAAGCCAGTCAAATCGCTTAATTCGATATTATGCAAACCGAAAGATCCAACAGAAAAAGAAGATAAAATTAATACCATTTTCAAAATAAATTGTATGAACTGCAATAAACATTACATCGGTTAAAGTGGGCGTCCCCTTCGAATCCGAATCCAAGAACACATATTGGCTGTAAAAGGACATGATATATATTCTTTCATATCAAAGCATGTGAACAATTATGGAAACCAATTTGACTATCATTTAAAGAGAGGAAACACCAAAAGTGCTAGAGTATTCCTAGAAGCCAAGTACTCAAGTGAATCAACAATTAACAAACATATTAATATGAACCAAATTTACCAACTAATAAAAAGTAAATCACGTAACGACTATCCTTTAAAGAGAGGAAACACCAAAAGTGCTAGAGTATTCCTAGAAGCCAAGTACTCAAGTGAATCAACAATTAACAAACATATTAATATGAACCAAATTTACCAACTAATAAAAAGTAAATCACGTAACGAGAAAGTTCAGAATCCAAGTCAATAAAAATGATCAATACAGATGTAAATCGACAACCAATGACGAAGATGGTTGCCAGGAGACACAATGCTATCATTCATGGAGAATTTAAGTTAGTTCACTTTATGCTAAAACTTGCACTGAAAATGTTGTCCAGAAGGATGACGAAAGCTTCGCTATTAAACCAATCAGCTCAGAGAACACAACTAACTGCAAATCATCCACCTGAGCTAAAAATATTCTCTATTATTTCAAGTAGATGCCATAGTTCTAAACCTCAAACAATACAGAATTGATTAAAAGAAATATGCAGAAAATAAATACTACTTTTAAGGTATAGTTTAAGTAGTAACTAGTTAATTCAGTTAATCCTACCATAAAATCGTAGAGTAATAAAGGTTAGTTGCTTGTGCCCGTATTTTTCTACATGTGACAATAGTAAAACTGACTAGATGAGAATTCACGTTTTATAGTCGGCATTGAATCCAAAACCAGTTAATGAATAAACCTGAAATGCGGTTAAAAGTAGAAATACCTTTGAACATATGGTCAAACATATGATACAGAATTGTCTTGTGATTATGAAGGGAAACAAAGTAAATGAGGATAATTTCAAATATGTAGGAGTAAAAGTGCTTTCGGTTTAGTCTGTGTTATCTTGGTTTTAGTTTTTTTCCTTTTATTTATTGTTGCTTTGACCTTTTCTGTTCAACGAACTTATGCATCAAATGTCGGTTAATTGAAATCACCTCATTACTAATCTGTTTTAACCGAACAGTTAAATTTGATATTATTCAGAAGTTTGCTTTAATGGAAAATCGTAGCAGTTAGATAATGCCTACTGCTGCATATTTGTTATTTTACTTCACAAAATTACTACCATTCGACTTAGGTTGATTACTTCTTCCCTGGCTCAGACAACTGTCT